TAATAAATTGCATTTATTATAGTTTGCAATACTTTTCCCATTTCTGGTGTTGACACGACACTTTGCACTCTGCTTCTAACTGTTTTCATTGTAATGTCACTGCTGAATTGCTGTCCCCTGCTCCAGAAACCGAAGAACGCCAGAGGCTAGCATCACTATAGGGTGTGTACAGGGAACTCTCTCCGGTTAGCACTAGCCCATTCGGTGCTGGATTATGGGAATGGAGGTTATGAGGGCAGGAATGAATTACTGACTGGTAGAAAAGTATTTCAACCCATTCTCACTCCTCAGGCTCTGACACCACAAATGGTTCTCCCTCCTCCTGGGAGGAGCCCAGGGAGGGATGCTGGGAACGGCTGCCCCCTTTCTGAGGTACCTTTAAATGGATGATATGTCCCTTGGAGACGATGCCCATGTCTTTCATATCTTCTTCATCCAGCAGAAGCAGGCGCTTGCCGGTAATGTTGTTTTCCTTAAACAAGCTGGCATAGATACTCATCTCTGCTGAAGAGTCCCCTGAAGTGATTAGAGGCAGAATCACATTAGACTCAGTCACGGCCAGAGCAAAGGTAGCTCTAGGAAATAAGAAGGTAAGTTATTCCACTTGCCTTTTCTGACGAGCTGCTGGACCCAAAAATACTGTGAAAGAGAAGACAAAGTTTTGAAGATTCATACGTGCCCAGGGGCAGACTTCACAGCAGAACACATCATTTTCAACAGATTAAAATCTCTGCAACTCTTGGTTCCACTACAAAGGTAAAGTGGAAGCTTTTTTCTTGATAGTTTTTAAAACAGCTGTCTTTCACATTGGAGCTGCTCAGGGGGTCTCAGACAACTGAGCAGTACTTTCCTTCCAATGTGGGATAATTAAAAATCCATTTGAGAAGATTCTTGCATAATCTTTGGAGGCGCTGTGGGTCCCTGCATTATTGAGGGAGACCTCAGGAACTGCATGGCCGAGGACAGAGAATTGGGGAGAACGCGCCTTGCTCCAAGTCAGGACTTGAAGCACCTGGGTGTGGTCCTGAACTTCGTGAGTAGAATGAGGCTGGACCCAGGGTGCCTCAGACCAGAGAGTTTACTTGGCACCTGATAAATGCTAACCTGCCACATTACCTGGGTGAAGCAAAAGACAAAGGAGGCAAGAGCCAGGCTTGTCAATTCTCCGGGGGAGCCCTGGACTCTGCATTTTATTTAAATGGTTCGCATACCACTTACCATCAGAGCAAAGATGAAAACTAGATGTCACACAGTGCCTTTGAAGAAGTTTCTTCTCAAATGAGAGGGGCCAACTTTGCAGCAGAGATAAAGGGATTCTATGCAGGCCCATGAGTGAAGTCACTCTTAAGCCCTCTTTCCTTATGAAGTGGGGCTGGCAGGAAATCTAGAATCACCGGGGTGCAGTGAATGGAAAGAAGTAGAGACAACTGGTGCCACGTTTCCTCTCCTTGGAGAAGCCAGGGAGGTGAGCTCATGCTGTGAGCAGCTTCCTCCTGCAGAGTACAAAGGGGAGGGGGGGGGGGGGACCTGGCCAGTCCAGAGAGCTGGGCGGAGTTAGGAGAAGGGTTTCCAGTAGTGGGTTTTCACCTCGCTACTGGCATAGATCCCTTGGGGCAGGAGCCTTCTAAGGCTGGTGGCCCAGATTTTCCCTTTCTTTCACTGTCTTCTTGAGCTTATAAAACAGACCTGGACAGGTCTGAGCCTCCATCATTTGTGAGCACAGACCTCAGGCCTGTGACTCACTAAGGAAATTGGCACAGATATGCAATAGGCCAAGTAGAAGAGAGGGAGTCTATCTCGAGGTCTGCCCCCAGGGCTGACATCTAGTGACTTGGTCTGGCTAAATCCTCAAGGCCAGTGGGTCTCATGCTGCAGGGACTGGGATGGTCAGGAGGCCCTGCCTATTCTCCAGGCACAAGGCCAGCAGGGACATGGCAGATACGAACAAGCCTGAGGAGAGAGGGCCCTCATTCAGCAGGCCCAGTTCAGCACTGCCTGGGCCAGCTCTTTTTCCCACCAGGATTCAATCGCCTTCCTTGTATTTCAGGAAAATAAAAGATTTTTGTTGTTGTGGTGGTGGTGGCATTTTTTTTGTTTGTTCAATTGTTTTTAAGTATATTCAATTGGTATTGTGACTCAGTCGTTGAGTTTTTATTTTCAGTATCTATTTCTATATTCTGGAATACCTTCCTGGAAAACAGGGTGGTGGAATTCTTTTGTAATATTTGAAGAGATCCTTGCTTTGCTTTTGAAACCTTATTTTTCATCATTACTGCATTAAAAACTAGAAAAGTATAAACCTTGTGAACCTCACCTAAAGCAGGATTTTTCTATAACCCACAGCCCTATAGCTGCATTTAATTTTATTTATTGGGGACGTGGGTGGGGGAGGTTAGGCCATACCCTGCAAGATTCAGGAGTTACTCCTGGTTCTGTTCTCCCCAGCAGTGCTCAGGAGACTGTGTGGTGACAGAGACTGAAATGGGCTTGGCTGCAGCAAGACAAGCAAGCTGAACCCGAGAACTATCTCTCCAGTCGTCTAGCTGCCTCCTAAACCCCAGGATTGCTATAAGAAAGACCCGCCCAAACAGAACGAGGCGTGAACAGAAGCAGCTTACCACATCGTCTTCTGTCCACGCACCAATATCAAAGGAAGGCAGCAACTGCGTGGGAAATATGAAGGAAATGAAAAAAATGTAATGGTTTCATTGTTTTTTGACTTACCCCTGTGGCAATATTTTAGCTCTTGGCTGTTGCTTTGGCTTAATCATGAATGGAAAGCAATTTCTATGACCTTTAGGGGAATTTCTTGGCCCAGAGAAGCCAATAATGGCTCTTGATAACAAAATTTAAGGAATTTCTGACAATTATCAGATTATCACAGCCTTATTTAGAAATCTCAATCAAAGAGAGGTTCATCGGATAACTCATTAAAATTCCAAAGCAACTACTTGGTACCCACTTTTATATACTTATTTTCACAGGGAAATTCTATGGGTTTAACTTAACGTTTGACTTACCTTATATATTTGTCAACCAAATAAGTGCTAGGCATGGATGAAGGACAAGTGAAATTGGTATTGTCCTCTGAAACCCAGGTTGCAGAGTTGCTTTGCTTAAAACTAAGTGAAACCATCCGGTGGACAAACATGAACGAGAGCCTAGTGAGAATTTTCCTCCTGCCGGCTCTATTTTCAGAGCCAAGCTATGAGCTTCAGGAAAAACATTGTGGGCTAAATCATAAGCTCCATCACAGCCTGGAAAAGATCTCTGTGTTCTGTGAGTTGAACAGGTGTTGATAGAGTCATTCAATCTCAGTTCCAAATAACATTTTTTTTGCAGATGAATAGATAAAAAAAGAAATTGAATTTGATGGCTTTTACTATGAGTGCAAAAATCCCATGGGAAACAAATCCTTTGAGTCCACAGGTAGCTTGAACTCAGGTGCTCAAAATTCTGCTAGGAATTGTGCAATCATGGCCTTTGAGAAACTTCTTTTAATTTTATTTAATTTGAGGGGAAATAGCTATGGATGGTACATGGAGGAGTTCAATGACCTTCACGCAAGATCAAAGCTGAGCTCTTAGCATAGAAAGTCTGCCAATATTTGTTGAGTAGATAAAAATTAAAAAGTGCATTTCCTAAAATGCTACCTTATCTGATAAAGTGAGTTCAATGTGTTTGGTGTACCGGGGAAACACATGGGCTTCTCAGACTAAATTGGGGAGAACGGAAGTCATGTTGGTTTGACCTGGGCACTGTGGAACAGAGAAGAGAAGTGATTCTAGAGAAGCAGCAAGACTAAAACTGAGGTTGGCAGGGAGCAGTGGGGAGGCAACATGGACATGGCTTTGCTTAACTGGAACTCTCAAAGGCAGTTTGCATGTCTGAGGGCCAAAGGGAAATGAGGCCAACTTTGGGAAGCTAGAGTAATTTTTTAAAAAAAGACCTGAGTGGATAAAATAAATATGAATGTGCAGATTTTGTGTTTTAAAAGCAAGTTTTAAGACCCAAACTGCTACAACTCTCTCTGCTCTGCTACCCTCATGTGTTCTGATTCACGTCAGCGTGCCCCTTCCTTCCTCTAAAACACCTGACGAAGAAAGGAATCATCACAGATACTCACCTGCTTTAATAATGCAGTGAGGAAAGTGACTGGAGGAATAGATTCTAAACTGAACTTGATCAAAAGAAATTCATGACAAGTTTTATTTCTTCACAGGGCAGCTGGATACAGCTGCAGAAACATGTCATTCCCTTCTCTTCATGAAACATGTGAAATAAGGAACGTTTCTGATTAGTACAAGAAATAACTGACTGAGTTACAGAAATATTTCCCTGCACCCTGGCTGGCTTTTATGGCGAGTGTGTGTTATGTGTATGTACTTATGTGTATAGTGTTTGGACTTTTACTATAATCTCCAATGTGATAAACAGAATTGAGAGGCATTCCTTGCATAGAGTAAGGGTGGTAGGAGAAACAACAACCAAAGCCAACATCTTTCCTTTTCATGGCAAAAGGAGTGAAGAGCTCTCTTGTGTGCTGAGTATGGCTTGTCAAGGTAGCACCCAAAGGGAAGAGCAGGCTTCCTTGGGGGACACCCTCTGGCAGGATCAAGGCCCTGAGCTCACACAGAGGAGAGGGGAAGGCTGGCGCCAGGCTTCAACATGGTGTAGAGAGATGGGCAAGACAGGATCAGAGGTGAAGATCTCCAAGGACACCGTGGCTTCCCATCTCCTGCATGTCTTCTGTACCTTGTTCACATGTTGGTGTATCTACTTAGGGTGAGTTCTAAACTGTTCTTTCTCTGGGGAATGATGAAAAAACATGACTCCACCTCATGATTGCCTCATTACTTTTCATGTTTCTTATTTACACTCCAGCTGGTGGAAAAGGCACACATATTCATGAACATGACTGTGACAATGACTTCTTCAAAGGATGTTGAGCACTCCCTCTAACAGAGATCTGAGATACACAGCCACACATAACAAAGGGATTTACTGTCAAAACGTTTATTGCAAAATGGAATCTTAAAACAAAGGAAAGCAAGAGTTCACATCAAAACGAAATGTCTGACACCAACCTGGATTTCTGAATACATTGTGGACTTTGTGCCGGAATATCAAATTCCAACTATGAAGTCAATAACTGAGTAGTCTTACCATACAGGAGTAAAATTTAATATTCCATATAAACATCATACATGGTTTGGCATAGGACTTTCTCAGATAACATTGCAATAGAGTAATTGAGAAAAGGATTTTGTTTTTAAAAAACAGTAAAGTGATAGTGCCATCTATTCAAAGCTCACACTCAAAGAATATAAATAGTTTCTATTATTTAGTACAAAACTTTTGAAAACAGTGCAAAAGCAGTAAGTGTGGTGCGTTGTTTCTGATGCTAAGAAGGTATACTATTCTGCACACAATATAATTAATGTATGTGCTTGAAATTCTAGTTTTAAAGTAAAGAATCACATGCCAGCAAGTTTCTCACAGGCAATTGAGTTCACACTAATCTGGACTCGAGGAAATGAGGTTAGTCCTGCAGGTTTCCTGGGAGTCACTCATTTTCCATCACAGAGATGCTGCGTCCAAAGCTATGTGGCTAGGCTACATGAACTGAACAGAGCAGATTCTTCTCTCTGGTAGTGTTTTAATTCTAAACAGGAAAACAATCTCACTCAAAAGTAGCTGAAGGTGCCTGATTATAGAAAAGATATGCTCTATGACATACATGTTGCACAGGGTGACTAGTTTCAAAAGGGTTATAAAGAAGTCTAAAGCATCCCAAAACAAAACACAACAACAACAACAACAAAAAAAAACCCTTAAACAATCAATAATTTGTTCAGAAGAAAAAGTTTTAAAATGATCTTGCATGACAATCTTATCACCCCCCATGAAAACTTAAAAGTAATATAGACTGTAGCATTAGTGAGAAGTCATTCTGGGGTCTAACAAGTCTTCCTTCTATCCCCTGATTCCCTGATCTTTGTGGGAAGCAAGTCTGAATAGTTCTCCTGGGGCCAGAGTCCAACAATTTTCTTTTTATTTTTGGGTCACACCCAGCAATGTTTAGAGGTTATTCCTGTCTTTGCATTTAGGAATTACTCCTGGTGGTGCTTAGGGGACCATATGGGATGCCGGGGATTGAACCCAGGTTGGCTGCATGCAAGGAAAACACCCTACCTGCTGTACTATCACTCCAGCCCTGAGTTCAACAAATCTTGAATAGCATGTGAAAGATCAGACTTGAAGCCAGCTCTGAACCTATCCAAGTCATTGCAGTCAAGTCTTCTATAAGCCCTCAACCTCTTGCCACTGGCTAGTTCCAGAATATGTTAAAATGTGATTTTGTAAAAATAAAAACAAAAAACTTAGAAAAGTTCCTTTTAATTTTGGGGGGTTTCGGGGCCATGCCTTATGTTACTCAGGGGTTACTCCTAGTTCTGCACTCAGGAATCACACCTGGTAGGCTCTGGAACCATATGAGATGCTGGGAATTGAACCGGGGTCAATCACATGCAAGGCAAGCACCTTACTTGCTGTACTATCTCTCCTGCCCTAGAAAAGGGTCCTTTTAAATCAGTAGGGTGACTGTGCAGAATTGTGACTCTCTCAGAGTGAGGCTTTTCTTTTTAACTTTTATGGGATTAGTGTAGCACCCTGGGACTTTGTCAAATAGTTTCACAAAGCTCCCACCTGAATTCTTATGGGGCGTGGGGGGAAGACACCATTTCCATGAGTGGAGGCTTGATATAACTGTCACACAAAAATTACCGACAAACTCCAAGTTCTGTAGTAGTTGTGATTTCTGGCCTTGAGAAATTTTATTTGAGATGTGTGTGTGTGGGGGGTGGCCTCTGAAATTCCCAGGATTAACAAGAGTCTGTGGGGAAAGGGACAAGGTCATTGGTATCTGGGGTGGAATTGTTTATGGGTGAGAATGTCCCTGGCATACAGGATATATTGTTGTAAAAACACACTTCCAGTTACAGGGAGAACCAAAAATATGCTATCAACTGACATCTCTGCTGCATTTGGAACTGCTCAAAGGGTGTCGTTTCAATTCTCAGTTTTTGAATATTTAGTTCTGTGTTTGACTTTTTATTTTAGAGACACATCCAGCAGGCTGACTCCTGGCTCAGCATTCAGAGAGTATTTCTGGTGGGGTTTGGGGGGACCCTATGGAGTGCTGGAGATTAAACCTGGTCAGCTGTGTGCAAGGCAAATATCTTACCCATTGTACTATCTCTCCAGTTCAACTTTCTTCTTTTCTCTTTTTTATTTTTTTAAATAAATCAGCATCTTTTGGTAAGTCAAGTAATTGAAAACAAATCTACCACCAGTTTGTTATTCTAAAAAATGATTCTGAAAAGAGACTCAGAAGTGACAAAATAAGCATCGTCATTAGAAATTTTACTTATGGACAGTAAACTCTGCTTTAAAACTAATAATACAAAATGAGTCCAAAGACTTCTAAATAACCTTCACAGACAGAGGTCACTTTAAAATTCTGTTTGGGGCTGGGGATGTGGTTCAGTTGTAGACCATAGACCTTGCAAGTTTAAGGCCCTTGGTATGATCCTCTACACAGCTTAACAGAAAAAGTTCTATTATGATTCAAATTTCAGTGACGTTCCAGTTCCTAAAAAAGATAATCTAGGCTCAAGTACAGAAACTTTTCCTCTTGAGCAATTTCTTTGCTTTTATTTACACACTAAAATTTTATGTATGATCATAATAACCTTACATGTAAGTTGAGAGAAATTGTCCTTTTCATTCCTGTTATGTTACATATTTATTGCTGATTTTTTCATAGAGGAAAGACAAGGTTTACCTTCTCTTGCTTTGTAGTGCTGAGGATGTATCCCAGGGCTTCACACAAGCAAAACACATGCTCTGCCACTGAGTCAACCAGCCTCAAACCCCTTCCAGATCTACCCTCTTAGGTAAAGCATACAGATTCTAAATTGAGACACAGAGATTCTCTTATCAGCAAGACCTTTTCCTGATCTCACTTGAAAAACCACAACATTCCCTCTGTGCCTTCCCCTTCTCCTGTGTCATTTCTTTGGCATGCACTTAGCCAATGTTTATGGCTATATGATACCTTTAGTTTATTCATGTCTATCTTCACTCACTAGCCTGCAAGCTCCCTGGGTGCACATATTTTTAACTAGCTGATCTGAAAATAGTACCTGGAACAAAGAGAGGCTTGATGAATATCTGTGGAAGGGAGGAGTTTTTCTGTGGTGGGAGTATGTACAAGAGACATTTAAAATTTTTTACTTTTCCTTTTTTGTTTGGGGAGGGGTTTTATACCTGCTGTGCTCAGACTTACCGGCTCTGCACTTAGAGATCATTCTTGGTGGAATTTGGGGGACCATTTGTGGTGCTGGGGATGGAACTTGGGTTGACTTTGTGCAAGGCAAGCTTCCTACCTGCTGTATTATTGCTCTGCCCCCTGAAAGAGGTTTTAAAACAGCTAAATATGAGGTAGCTGGGTCCCAGTACCCCAGAGCATCCTGGGAAGTCAAGAGTGGAGATTTCCCTTTGGGCTCCATGCCCAGAATTCTGCTGGGAGGCTCGGCTTGGCTCAGGAAGTTGTTGTCTCTAAGCGCAGATGTGCGGCCTCCCTATGTGTGCATGTTTGTCATCAGCCCTATGGTGTGGGGTGGTATGCACAGTTATGAAAGTGGCAACAGGGTGGGTTGAAGGGAACCTGTCTTCTGCAGGAACAGTTACTGACCTAGTCTGTGTGAATTTACTTAGAGGATACACATATGGTCTGCAAATACCTGAAACAAGCAAACCTAACCTGGCCTTACAGTGTTCAATGAACAACAGACTAAATCTGCTTATGAAGCTTACATTCTAAGAATGTTCTATCTTTCCTGAAAGTGACCCACTTTGAATTTCACCTGGTACCAGTCAACAAATATCATTTGATGCTTTTCTTTTGATAACCAAGAATATTCTGTAGGGTTTTGTTGGTAGAGAGAGTTTTAGGATTTAAATAATCTTTGACAAATATGTGGAACATCGGGAGACTCTCTGACTTGCCAGATATATTTCTCCCTAAGACTGGTGGGGCTGAGGCAGGGCTCAAAGACCAGTCTGGAAGGCTACTTTGACAGATAGCGGACCCTTAGGTCTGGACTTTGCCGACATAGTAGAGCTTTCTCTTTCTTTCACAATGTTTACTTCCCTCTTTAGAACGTCTCTCCGCACCTCTCTTCACACCCTTACTGCAACTGCAGCCCAGGCTCACAGCGACACCCTCTCCTGCTGGAAGGAGCCCTCGTAGACCACATTTTGCCCCATGCCAAGAATCAGCAGAGCCCTAGAGGAGAGCAGGTTCCTTGAAGCAGCATTCAGGGCTGGTCCTGAAATAAGAGCCCTCACCATCTGCTGCTGGCTTCACACATACTGCTGAGAATACCTTTCAGGTTTGACTTGGAGAGCTGGGCTGCGAAGCACTAAAAATTCCTGCCATTTAGGTATTTCTGAAGTATCTGTACTAAACTTCTTTCATCTCAAGTGTTTTGTTATTGGGTTTTGTTGTCACTATTAATTATTTTTGACAGTACAGTATATCCCCATAAAAGTACATTGTAAGAAAATCAAGCACCCAACAAGAATTAGGAGTTAAAAGGGCCTATATTCAAACTTAAGTTCTGTTAAGTATTTGAATAAACAAAATCAAATCAAAACTATGAAGTGCTCATTTTTTAAAAAACCAGGATGTCATTACTTTAAAAACACCATATATATATATAAATATAGAATCATAAATTTCTACAATCAGGCACCTTGTTTGCTGACTTATTAAATATACCATTTTTTCCTAAAAATTTCTTGCTATTTTTCTTTAAGCAAAAATAAATTGAAAGTAAAACAGATAGAGAAATGACTGTCATATAAATGTGATTTGCCTAAAAATACAGTGCTGCTTTTCTACCTCCTTACTGGCTTTTGTACAAACTGAGATAACAAGTTTCTTTTGTTTTCCCAAACATTGTAAATATCATTACTTTGCTTTCTGCTTTCACTCACTATTATTATCCACATCATTCTCCTCCTCACCGTCATCATCATCATCATCATCATCATCACCTTCTGACATGTCAAACTCACTGAACCCCAGGGCCATGTTGACCTTCTTCCCCCTTCTCTTAGATGTGGTTTTGGAAGAATTCTGCTTGGCTTGCATGTTTATCTGCATCCCAGAATGCAGCACAGCTCCTGCTTTGTTCAGTGAGAAGATATCCCCAAAGCCCATCAGCATCATGGCCTGCAGACTTGGGTTCATGCCATGGCCCTCCCCGTTACTTGCTGCTGTGATCTGACATGACATCTCTGCACTGTTTGATTCCTCTGTCTTAGATTCAAAGTAAGACTCCTCAGACATTCTTGCAGCAAGAGGCAAGACAAGCTATCACAAGGGAAGAGAGGACAGAAGCAAAAAGAGAAATTAGGACCAATTTAAACAAAGGAAACAGATACCACAATATTCGTGGGTACTGCACAGGAAGTTAATGATTAGTGAGATAAATGAATGTGGGGAATTATGTGAGCGGGTATTTAATGGCAGGCTTGGCCAATCAGCATATTTGCCAGAATTAACCAATGGCAATGTCAATCACAATCAAAAGTCTGCAAAGCATCACAGCAAGCCACATTTCAAATGGAAAGAAGTTGCAAGGTTTAAGTCTTGGTTTTGCTTAAAACAAAAGTTTTTAGAATTGCTCTTAATTTTTCTCATTTTTACTATTCTGCAGAAATCATATTAAAATTGATTTTCAATAAGATGAAATCATATTGAAAAAGAAACTAAGTTGAGATGAAATCTCAAGTAAAAATCAGGGAATCATGTACCAAACAAAAAAAGATGAGGGGCAACACAAAAACAGTTCATCAGTCAAAATGCTTCTAGGGAAATATGGCTCATCATCTTTTTAGCTGAATTAGTATCTGACTATAAACTAAAAATGTTTCAAGAGTTCACTTGTTTTCATCTATTTTTTATTACAGCCAGATAGGCTACAACATTAATTACGGAAAAATTCACTTGTGGACACATTTGTAGGTCTGTCTTCAACATTTAAGTTATTATCAAGTGCATCAGACCATTGGAAAAAAAGGGACTAGTATTAATTCAGATTGTCACCATTCTCTGTTTTCTTTCATGTAAAATTCCTGCTGCTAGCAAGTTTCCCCCACCCCTAGGAATTCTCCTCACTGAGGATTGAAGACATTTACTCTCTACTTCACAAAATTTTCTTGAAGAGTACCCCAATTTCCCTGAACTAAGGTCACATTTGTTTCAGAGGTAAAACTATTAGGATCTAAAAAACTGTTGCTGAGCTAGTAGAGGGCTCAAAGGGTTACATATATCATTACATATGCTTGGCATGCACAAGGTCTAATTTCATCCCTGGCACACGGCACCCTGAGTAGCCAGGTGAACTACCTCTGAAAAAATGTATTATTGCCTAGTATTAATTCTTTTCAGAAACCTGCAAAGTAATGTCAGATTTTTGATATGCAAACATAGAAACATTTGTGATGAACAATGTAGCTCGGGCTGGAGCGATAACACAGTGGTAGGGCGTTTGCCTTGTGAGCAGCGGGCCCGGCCGAGCCAGGTTCGGTTCTTCTGCCCCTCTCCGAGAGCCAGGCAAGCTACCGAGAGTATCTCGCCCACACGGCAAAGCCTGGCAAGCTACCCGTGACATATTCAATATGCCAAATACAGAAACAACAAGTCTCACGACGGAGACGTTACTGGGCCCGCTCGAGCAAATCGATGAATAACGGGAGGACCATGACCGTGAATGTAACTCAGGGCTTACATCTAGTCTGCGCTCAGGGATCACCCCTGGTAGACTCAGAGAACATATAGGCGTCTGGGGATTGAACTAGGGTTGGCCATTTGAGAGGGCAGTGCCCTGCCAGCTGTACTATATCTCTGTTTTGTAGGGTTGAATTTTTAAATATCTCACTTTACGAGGGAAAAACCTCCAAGTTGCTAGTGCAATAAAAATTTCCTGAAATTCTGCTACCAAATGCCAATTATGTGGATGAAAAAAAAATGCATTCGATTTCTTAACACTGAAAACAGGGTACTATTTTTCCTTACAAATTTCTGAGCTTCTCAAATTTGTTTCCCATTAGGAGATATACTTGAAAACTCTTTGTTGCTTATTTGTTTTATTATTATTTCATGGGGGCTTCCTCGCAGTACGTTATACTTTAAAGATCTTTCCAAAAGTCTCTCAAAGAAACTTCTATTTATTTACTTATTTGTTTAAGTATGTATTAAGTCCTCCCACGGAGTATTCAGCAAGCCCAACAGCATCATTGGTGCAGGGCTGAGGGATATGGTGCTGCTTGGACTCTGGATCGTACCAGGGATTACCTGGGACATGCTAGAGGTGCAGGAGTATCTCTAGGATATACCTAGTGATGCTGGTGCCAGGGATTGAGCCCAAGTCAGGTGTGTGTGCCAGGCATACACCTTAACCCCTGTATCTCACGGCCCTAACTTTTATTCTTAAAATAATTTTTCCCTCAAGCTAGAACAATAATGTAAAAATATTAAACACTGTATATAGATACAGAGAATTCATCATCCCACACTACAACTTTCTATAAATATGCTTACAAACTAGACTTTTATCATTAAGATGAGTCCACATACAGGAAATAAAACCTCCAACCATTTCTTCTGTAAGTTTATTTTCTTTCTCTCAGAACGCTCACTAGAGCTTTATAGTTGATTAGAAAAAAACTGATGTGAGGATGAAAGAAAACAGCTATGTATGAAATACCTGAGCCTAAACTTTCATTCCTTTAGAAATATCAGCACTCAGCAGTGAAGACATTAAAAGCAAGTGCTGTAAAAAATTAAAACTTGCCACATAAGATAAAAAAGAGGCAGAACGAAAATCTCATTGAGATGGTGCATTATTATGCTATCTATTGTCAGATGAGCTCACAGGGCATTTCTTTGCAGCAAGTTTTCTGCAGTTAAAACTCAAGCAACCAGACCGACAGTGCACACATGGTAGTTCATTATTCACTCCCCAACTTTGCCACTAGCAGTGCTACATGTGCAAATAGCTTGCAATTGCTTAGCAAACCAACGCTAATAAACCAAAGAAAGGTTCTAAAGCATACTCTAATTGGTAGTTTAAAGTCATTAATAGTTTTTTTTCTTACAATGCTACATCCAGAAAGAGTCAAGCCATGCAGCAGTTTATAGCTTAAGATTTTAAGGCACTTAAAAAAAAAAAAAGAAACAACCAGAAGTCCAACTCTCCAATTTGGGAAGACCTGTGAGGTGGACCTCAGCTCTGGGAGAAGCACAGCTCTCTCCTACAGTTCTCAGGGTGATACTTTTTGAGTCCGCTTATGGGTATCAATATAACCAGCACAGGAACCATCCCTCAACTTCCTTCTCGAGAGCCAAATTATTTTCACTGACCTTATAGATGGTGCTGTCTTTTAAATGTCTCCTGATAATTCTGTGTATGGCAACTGCATTCTTACTTTGGGATTCCCTGCACAGCCAAAGCTAATTTCGAAGAAGCTACACCTGATCATTAACATTTAACATTATCGGCTTTTCCCTTTTTGGAAATCAGGGTGCTTCCCACATAAATTGAAAATGAGGCAACCAATGTTTTTCTTTTGATTCTGGAAAATCCTTTGATTATTGGGCTTTGATTGTTTGGTGGAGATCAGGGCTTTGGAAAATAGAAAATAGAAAAGATGTTTGAAGATTACTTAATGAAGGACTCATAAGAATTTTTTTTTTGAATAACCACTTTAGTTACTATCAGAAATGAATTTGAATGTAAAACAAGTTTTTATTTGTCATTCTAAAGTAGACAAATATTGCCCATTAAATATTGCCCTTGGGTAAAAATTATGTCAATTTTGTAGTTACTTCCTAAAATGACAAATCATTTAAAATACAGAAGAATGCTGAAAGTTGATTAGATTTTAATATATCATTTTAATATATCATGTCAGCATGCACATTCAAAGTTAGTGTATAATGAAAAAAATCCTTAAAATGAGTTTTTAGATTCTTCTTATTACATAAGACTTGGGGGAAAAATCCCCAAGATAACTGCCTAGACGTAGTCTATACTGGAAGTTTCTCCAGAGAGATTCCTTTTTCTAACATTATTCTGACCCAGGATCACCACAAGTTGAGTAAGAAATTCTAATGTCTATTATCCACATGTTATGAGGGTGACTTGACTTTAGAAGGAAAACTTGGTTACATTCTGAACTATCTCCGAATTTTTCTAGTTCAGCTCACAGCTGCCTGGGTGTGACTGGGACGAATTACTGATGGGTTCTAAAGAGTTACTCAGCCACAAGTTTTATGCTCAGGGGACCTACTGGTGTCAAGTGTGCTGGATGCTATTTTTTGTAGTTCAAATACACCAACACACCGACAGAGTAACTGCTTAGGGAAAGTGCCTGTAACAGGATAAGCTCTTCTCTACATGCCTGGCGTACTGTTAATTGAAAGTAGACAGGGACATGACTGGAGGGAGCATCAGTGCGGGCCCTTTGGTGGGCAGGCAAGAGGCAGGAGTGAGGCAGGGGCAGCGCGAGGAAAGAGGAGTGTCGCCATGCGCCATGCGCCATGCTCAGCCCGGGCTCTAGGGTGCGGGGTGTGGGTGCGATGCACACTGTCCCCCCCAAGGGACACTCACCGGCGTATTGGACTGTTCTGTCAGCTTTTGCTCCCACATCTTCAGCCGCCGCTCTCGTTCTTTGAGCTCCTGCTCTTTGCAGCTGAGATCTCGTTCTAGTTTCTTCAGCCTCTCCAGGGTGGCTTCAATCTCACACCTGCGCAGGGACAATCAGATAAAGTCTCCGGTTGGCTTGGGAGATGTGAGACGTGGGTGACGGGGCCTGACAGGGTGCTGACCACCCACTGCCTTGGGTTTACAGACCAGGTGGCAGTGTGCTCCCAGATAAGAAAACCTTCTTCCAAGTGAATAAGGGCATGGAGGAGCCTCCATGTTTGGGTGGACCCAAGCTATGGGCTGAGTGGTCTGGCTTTGCTGTTTATCAAATGCCTCCATTCTTCCAGCTCTTCACAGTTTACAGAGCTCAATTACACATAACCTTGTTTTGTTCTCATGAGGCCCCTTGGATTCATCACATACACATGGAGGAAAAACATCTCTGGGTTAGGTGAACAGTAAGTAGCACAGTAGAAACTCTCATTAGCCTATTTCCTGGGCTGAGTGACTCAAGCAACAGATGGATAACCCTGACTCAGTTTCCTCAGCTGTAAAAGAAAGTGGTTAGATCATATCAGGTTTCCCCAGCTTGCCCGGTCTTAAAAATATAACAAGAATCTCAACACTACTCTAAACACGTGACGTGAACTATAATAATTGGATCACTGTCACTGTCCTCCCATTGTTCATCGATTTGCTCGAGCAGGCCCAGTAACGTCTCAATTGTGACAATTGTTACTGTGTTTGGCATATCGAATACATCATGGGTAGCTTGCCAGGCTTTGCCGAATGGGCGAGATACTCTTGGTAACTTGCCAGGCTCTCCAAGAGGGGCGGAGGAATTGAACTCGAGTCGGCCATGTTGGCCGCTTGCAAGGTAAACGCCCTACCCGCTGCACTACTGCTCCAGCCCAATAATTGGATAAAAATCTTTATATAGTTGGGGAAAAAAGAACAATGCTGAGAGAGAGGAGAGAGGAGAGAGAGAGAGACAGAGACCATCCAGTGGTCTACTGAGCAAGGCTGAGAGTGAACCCTGAGCACAGAACCAACAGTACCCTCTGAACACTGCCAGATGTAGCACAAAGACCAGAAAAAAACAACAACAAACAACCCAATGACAACAACAACAAAAAAACCAATCCAGTGAGATCCTTCCTTAAGCACTCATAATTCACCAAGATTGGGTAGAGTCCAGGAATTTAAAGTATTAAAAAAAAAAAGACATGATTTGTACATTCAGGCAAATATGTATGGGGAAGCCTGGCTCCGTTCATGAAGGTCCTTTGATTCTTTCACAACAAACTGTCAGCCTCAGTCCCTGTGGGCCAACCCCATTTACCACCTGGAACAAAATGTAGTCCCAGAACCCACCCTCCCATGGAAAGGGAAACACATCAGTCTCCTTCAGGCTGCCACCAAGCTCCTGTCTAGATCATTGATGCCCTGAGCATGGGAGCTCTACCCTTGACTTTCTGAAGACTTGTGAGAAAAATATTTGTAATAAGAGAATGATGAGGAATGAGAGGAAAGAGAAAATGGAAGGAAAATGGATGAAGAAGAGAGGGAGAGGAAGGGAGGGAAAGAGAGAGACAGAGACAGAAAGACAGAGAGAGACAGAGAGACAACATGACAGGGAGAGAGAGGAGAGAGGAAGGGGAGAAGACAAACAATGGGGAAGGGAGGTTGGAAAGACCACCCAGAGAGAAGGAAGCAGGGCCAAGAAGGGCTGAGACTAGGGGGTGCTATGAGGAGGAGGTATCCAGAGCTACCCACAGCTGTTTTTGTTGTCATGGAGACAAAGGCTGTAGGAACGTCTGCCTAATCCTAGCTTAGTCCAAGTTTAGGCTATGGGAAGGAGCTCCTGGATCTAATTTCATGAAGTGCCTTAACTGAAAACTTGCCATCTATTTCCTGGGAGAGTCAGCCAGGTGATTCCAGTGCCCTTACAGAATCAAATGCATGAAAACAGAAATGTTCTATGTATTCATTGTCAAAGACTAACCCAGGGAGCAGCTATGGAGCTGGGTATGGATTTGAACTCTGTGCTTTGCTTTCTGCTCATGTGATAAATAGCTCAATGCAAGCAAGAGGAAGAAGCAGCAGAGGTGTCAAAGAATCTGCTGTTCAAACTACCCCTGTAGGGGTGCATTGGAATCAGGGTAAGTCATGGGAGAACATCTAGAGAAATTCACAGACTCAGCCACCTTGCAGAATTATGGCTACATCATAAACCCAAAAGCACCCTTGATACTTTCAGCAACAATTATGCCCGTGAATAAGTCTGTTTTCAATTTTCACATCATGGATTGAAGGGGAGTAGGGTTATCACTAGAGAATATCTCAGGCTAAACACTGGGATCAAAAAAGAATGAAAAATTTGCCCTCAGAGAATGAGAGGGTGCAGAGAGGAGGCGGGAGAGCTGGCAAGAGTGCTGAGGTCTTGACTCTCCTGTCCAGGTGCCCAGCTCACGGGCACATGTTCTGATCGGGTAAAACCTCACTTGTCATTTTAAGCCACAGCTTCATCTCAAGTTCTATCTCTGGGAGCCACTGTGATACATACGGAGCCCTTCTGCAAAAACAGTTCAAGAGCAAAATGAAACGCTGGTGGAGGGATGGGTGTTGGAATACTGTATGATGGAAATCCAATAATGAATAGCTTTAAAAAAATTTTTTTTTAAAAAAGAGCAGAATGAAAATCTTGACACAGAAGCTGAGCCTAGAAAAGAAGCTCCATTTCACTGTCTTTTTAGGCCCCACTTCCCTACACTGTACCCCCCCTCCCCCCACACACACCAAGTCTGACAGCAGGTTATAAGTTATAGGTTAGGAGCAGTATAATCCTTACTCTGTATCTACTGATGCATTATAGACTCCTTTTATTCTAAAAGTATAGGGTTGTAGTTGATATGGGATTTTACCTCCAGAAACCAATTCCAATGAAGGTAGATTTCAACTAGCATCAACTTTTTATATACTGAAAAAATGGCAATGAAAGAGCTGGAGAGATAGTACAGCAGGTGAGGCACTTGCCTGGTATGTGGCTGACTTTGGATTGATCCCTTGCACAGCATATGATCCTCTGAGCACTCCAGAAGTGATCACTGAACACAAAGTCAGGAGTAAGCCCTGAGCACCACCAGGTGCAGCCCCAAATCCAAACAAAACTCAATTCTATTATATATATGTGTATATATATATATATATATATATACATATATATGTATATAATGTGAGGCTGGAGTGATAGCACAGCGGGTAGGGCGTTTGCCTTGCATGCCGCTGACATGGCCGACCCGAGTTCGATTCCTCCACCCCTCTCAGAGACCCTGGTAAGCTACGAAGAGTATCTCGCCCACAGGGCAAAGCCTGGCAAGCTACCCGTGATGTATTCAATATGCCAAACACAGTAACAAGTCTCACAATGTTACTGGGCCTGCTTGAGCAAATTGATGAACAACGGAAGGACAGTGACAGTGATATAAAATGTGATAAATATAGAATATGTAAAGGTAGGAGTAAATGATTGGTGCCAACACCCATACTACAAAAGACTTCGTTTTTTTTTTTTTAATTTCTGTTTTAAGAAGGCCTTGGGAAGAAAAACAATCCACAAAATGTTTGGCCAGGGCAGATCTTCATGCTCCATCATAGAGCCACAGAGCTTACTCGGTGCACATATCACAAGTCTGGAGGCCCTCAAATGGGGTCAGTACAATAGACAACACAAGCCCTCGGCAGACACACTTTCTGTCCATCACTGCCACAACTGCATATCTATCAACAGGAGGAGAAGCAGGCGCAGAGCGTGAGGAATGGGAATATGTCTTAACATGAGATTTCTTTCTGATCATTTATCAGCTCATAGGAAAGAACACCGTTTATGTGGTTTTTAATAACTTCTTTTGAAAGAGAATTTCTAGACTAACGATCACATCTTCGAAAATTAGATGTTCCGGCTGTGTGTGTGTGTGTGTGTGTGTGTGTGTGTGTTAAAAGGAAGCTTCACCAGACACATCACAGCATGGCTGAAGTCTGACTTCACTGTGGCTCCACGTTTCGGACCCAAGTCATCTGGCGTCAGACACCAGTCAAAAGCTGGGAAGGGTCTTCTGAACATGCCATCCTTGAAACCACTGGGATTCTCTGCTTCTCTAGGAACACTAAGTCCCACAGTTGTTTTTCCCGAATCATAACCTAAAAATGCCCAGGCCCTATAGAATTTCTCTTCACTGAAAAAGAGTTTAGTCAAATGAACAGTGCTTGACACTGAGTGGATGGGCATGGCATTGATCATGAGTCCATCGCAAGGTATGTGTGCCACTGAAGGCTGGTAAGAGCAGCCTCTGGGTCTGCTGGGATCCATTCTGTCTCACTTGGTCTTGGTCCCTGGGAGGACTGAACCAGCCTCAGCATCAGTGTTTGCAATCTGTGTTATGTTCGGGTTGCCATGTGGATTAAGGAAGGAAGAGAAGAAGGAAGGAAAGAAGGAAGGGAGGAAGGGAGGAAGGAAGGAAGGAAGGAAGGAAGGAAGGAAGGAAGGAAGGAAGGAAGGAAAAGAGAGAGAATGGAAGGAAAGAAAAAGGAAAGAAGTCCAAAAAAAGTATAAGTAGCATCTGGTAAGAATAAATGACAACTGTGTTTACTGTTATTCTTATTCTTATTCCCCATCTTTTTAACCAATTGCCAGGTTCAAACAGCTCTGCTGCTTCTCCAAACTGTAGTTAAATAGTTCAGGAAAGTTATATATTGTTTCTCCAGCTTCTCTCTAGAGCCAATGAGAATGCACCCTAAGTCACTGGATACCTTTTACTTATAAAATATCAATTAATTTTCCCCTCATCTTTATATCTGTAAGCATTATAGCTACTTAATAATTCAGCTAATAAATGTTATTGAAAAGTATAAAATAAAGATTAAAAAATAGAAAACTATAATTTCATGACATTGAACTTTTGAGACTTTTCTCTGTGTACATATATACATGTTAAATATGTATATTTAATTTATTAAAATTGGAGCACATTTAAACACATTGGATTGTAAACTTAATTTTTAAACTATTTTTCAGATCTCGATTAACAAGAATGATTCTATACCATTACATGTAAGGAGATACAGTCACGGGGCTGGAGCAATAGCACAGCGGGTAGGGCGTTTGCCTTGAATGCGGCCCACCGGGGTTCAATTCCCAGCATCCCATATGGTCCCCTGAGCACCACTGGGAGTGATTCCTGAGTGCAAAGTCAGGAGTAATCCTTTAGCATCACCGGGTGTGACCCAAAAAAGTAAAAAAAGTAAAAATAAAAAAGAAGATACAGTCATTTAAAAAACTATTCACCTTTTTTTAAGCCAGTTTTTTTCCCACAATTCTAAATAATGCTTTAGAATTCCACAATTCTAAATAAAGTAATAAACAAGTGGTCATACATTACTTCACTAATGCTGTAATAAAGAAGCGGTCATACATTACTTCACCAATAAAAGGGAACTCGTAGTGTTGTCTGATCTATACTGTTACATTAAAGGGTTTCCCCCCCATCAGCAGTGTATGACAACATTATTACCATTGGACATTTTAATAACATAAATGTTATCATTACAGTAAAACTTAATTCTGTTCTTGTAGAAAATGTTTTTTCATACCTTTAAGTCTAATTATCTGGTGTTTTGGGTGTCAAAGATGGCAGTACCCAGGTGCTCAGGGATCATTCCTGGTGGGCTCAGGGAACCGTATCTGGTGTTGGGGATACAGCTTGGGATGGTCAGGCGTAAGGCAAACACCCTGTACTATTTTTCCCACTCCAGTTTCTACATTTTTATAATGAAACAGCCTTTTTTTTAAAAAAGAAAATTCAATGTCATGCTTTAAAATATTATTTGCTAATTCAAGGATATTAAGAGTAGTATTAAAATCCTACTGTCTTTTAGTTAGCAGACTAAACTGAATTTCCTCAGGAAATCTTTTTATTCTACATTCTCAGACTTAGATTTGATGTCATGGCTATTTACTCTCAGACAGTGTTCTCAGCCAGAACATTAGTCAAAATAGCAGTAAAATGGTGACTTGTATGTTTATGCCTAATCTGCAGGATACTTCGGGTGTGTATCGCCACATCCTGAAGCCCATCGAGAGCAGGTCACCCAGCAGAAGGTCAGTGAACATCTGAAGGAGAGGAGGAAAGAAGCACAATGTACCATGGCAAACCAATGACCTCACATGGCCTTATTCTCGTGTAATATTATAGAGACCTGTTTTTTTTGGTGGGTTAACCAAAAACCAGGTTTTGTGTGATTCTGCTTTTGTTGTGGGGGCCATGATGGCCTCGCAATGCTCAGGAGTACTCCCAGGGCAGTACTGGGGGGTCATTCCCAGTGGTGCTCAGAGGATCATTTGGTGTGGGGGTTGAACCTAGAGCTCCCACAAACAAAGCACACCTTCCAGCCCCTTGAGCCAATGCCCTGTCCTCTTACTGTGTCTTTCTATCATTACTCCCATGGTCTTTCCTTCCCCCAGCATTGATTGAGCAACTGCCGTGTTCCAGACATGACCTATGTTCAAGACACTGTGCCGTAGACAGTGCTGAACAAAGAGATTAACTGAACTTTTTCTGGGAGGGATCACACTGATACAGCAGGAGCTGAAGTGTGGAGCACCAGGTCACTTTAAATCTCTGCCTGTGGAACAGGTAGTCAATCAGAACGTAGAGTTGGATAGTGAGGAGTGGGTGGGTGGGGGGAAGCCCCCAGTTTCAACTTTCCTCTCTCTCTCTCTCTCTCTCTCTCTCTCTCTCTCTCTCTCTCTCCCTCTCCCTCTCTGTCTCTGTCTGCAGCACTCTCTGGACTCACCCCTCTCAGGTAGGGCTGTGCACCCCGTAAACATGGCCCAAATAGGGGCAGAATACAGGGCATGGGAGTCTCATTCACGCATGTGGCCATGGCTGGAGACTAGGAAAGACAGGAACAGAACAATAGGAACTGCTGGAGTGCAGTTAGGAGCCCAGCGACAGGTACAGGGCAAAGGGATCTCAGCCACACACGCTTGACCATACACAGGATAGCACACATGGGATAGAGAGAGTGGAGCAGGGACAAGAGAGGGAAATGGTTCTCAGGATGGAGCAGCATGGGTCAGAACCTTGCTGTCGTTCATGGGAGGCGAGTAGTATGGGACAGGATTGGTGATGTCATTCATGGAAAAAACGGAGAGACCTGGACTTCTGGAGAGGGACCTGGACCTATCTACCTTTATCTGAACAATAAATTCTAACTTTTTTTGGAGGGGTCACACTTGGCGATGTGCAGGGATTACTCCTGGCTCTGCACTCAGGAACTACCCTTGGTGGTGCTCAGGGGACTATATAGGATGCTGGGAATCGAACCTGGGTCGGACACATGCAAGGCAAATGCCCTACATGCTGTGCTATTGTTCCAGCCCCAAATTCTAACTTTTTATCTACCAAGTTTTGTATGCAAATCTTACACAATCCTCAAGAACCTACCAGTGGAGAAAAATCTGCTTTTGCTTTGACAATACCTGGTGGTGCTCAGGGCTTACTTCTGGTTCTGTGCTCAGTGATCAACCCCGGTGATGCTCAGGGGTTAGATCCTGGGGATCAAATGGATTTGACCATGTGCAAAGCAGCTGCCTTAACCCCTGCAGTCTTGAGTCAGATTATGTGACCTTCCTACGTGCTAGCCAGCGAGTTCCCACCAGAGGAGAAGCTGCAGAATGATTTATTAATTCTGAGAGCATCCGTGCCTAGCAGGGAGAAGGAGATGTCCTCTGATCACAAAGAGGGGAACCTCATCCTCATCCAGTCTGGAGTTAGGAAACACTTTCCTAGAGACATCTTATCACTTCTGCCTTCTAAATGACAGTGGGAACTAAGTGTGATGTCAGGGGTGTGTGCTGTTGAAACAGCAATGTTTGCGTGTTTGGGGGCCACACCCAGCAGAGTTCAGGGGCCACTCCCAGCTCTGTGCAGGGCTGGCTTCCCAGAGCACTCAGGGGAGCATGTGGTGCAGTCAGCCCAGTGAGCTGTCTCCTCAGCCACAGCAGCACAGAAGACCCTGCATTTGAATCTGAATGAAGAAGAAATGCATGTGTGGAGGGGGCAGAACCTTGGATGCTCAATCAATGCTAAGAAGAGGAGGCAGGGGATCTCACGGAGTAAAGCGAACCCCTAAGGATTTTAAAGCGGAGTGATATGATTAGCTGGGCATTGTAGGAAACAATATATTATTTGTGTGTCTTCATGTGCTAATTATTTTAGCCCCGGAACAAAGTCCCTCATACCTGGACTAGAGCAGACGCCCTTCCTTTTGTATTCTAGAGTTAAAAACTAATTTAACTCACTAGCCCGGCACAGATATTTTATAAGAATAAAAAGAAATAAAGGTCATCATAAACCATCAAACAGGGAGTCCAAAGAACTGGCTCCTAACCCCGGCAAACACCATCACTGTCACACGCATGTAGTGTTCACTTGGCATCAGCAGGTGGCGTAAGGCGTCACGTTACCACCCGGGCTCCCCAGAGCAGAGGTAAGTGACATCTCCGCTGAGTCAGGGAGAGATCATGTCAGCCACCAAACACGCTATTTATATAAGTGCATCAGGTGACCTGGCTCAAATGTCTTATCTGCACTTACTTCTTCCACTTACACAATAACGGTCTCTCGTTACTAAGTTTGTTTTACCCCCTGACAACACTGAACAGAACTCAGAACATGCAACGTTTTCTTTCAAAAGTGCTTTTTATGGTCCTGCTACCTCTTGGCTAACGGACATGGTGCTCTGCAAGTTTCTCAGCAAACGGTACTTTTATTTCTCACTGGAACAAAGCCAACCCTTCCAGCAGAGAATGTACACACAGAAATGTCTGGTCACTGTCTTTTGTCTCAGAAGATGGGATCTCAATCTCTTTCCCCAAATACTTAAGACGTGTGATAAGATCATGAGCTGAGAGGAACATTCTTCTTGGCTTATAATATGAAACAGAGTGCTCAGCATCTGCCACCTCCACTCCCATCTCTAAAACACAAATGAACTGAATGCCAAGTCCGAGGTGTTGCTTAGAAGCCGGGCCTGCCTCTCAGCTTTCTGGTTCTCATGGAAGCTGGTCTCAGGTCTGGAAGCAGGAGGCTATCCCTGGCCGGGGCTCACCTACCTCCACTCGGCCTTGTTGTGCAGGAATGAGTTACACTGGTCAGGAAGGTTAGTGTCGTTCGACATGGACTCCAGAATGGAAATGATCTGCTTGAAAGATGGCCGCTTCTGAAGAGAAATCATTTGGTGGGGTTTAAAACAGAACTTGAAGAGAACATCCACAAGCATGGTCGTAATCTCAACTCACAATAATGAAAGAAGATAGGGGGAATGCCCTGACTTAGTGGTTTTACTACTCTGGTATAGGAAACCAAACTCTCTATTTTCAATCAATTGGAGCGATAGCACAGCCGGTAGGGTATTTGCCTTGCACGTGGCCAACCCAGGTTAGATTCCTCCACCCCTCTTGGAGAGCCTGGCAAGCTACTGAGAGTATCCCACCCGCACAGCAGAGCCTGGCAAGCTCCCCATGGCGTATTCGACATACCAAAAATAGTAACAGTAAGTCTCACAATGGAGATGTTACTGGTGCCCGCTTGAGCATATTGATGAACAACGGGAGAACAGTGCTACAGTGCTATTTGAAAAAAATAGACTCTGAAGTCACTTTGCTATCACCAAGGTCTGAGAGTGGAATAATTAGTTTTTCTTTAAAAAATTCTCCTTTTTGCATACAATTAAAGACTCTCCTAACAAGGAAAAAGTCAAATTCTTTTAAAAATTCTATGTGATCAAACAAATATAGTAAGCAGAACACGGCAGAGTCTGGTAATAGGTATAAGCATCCACTATAAAAGGTAAAGGTAAAGGTAAAGGCCCTCCCGTTGATCGTCGATTTGCTCGAGCGGGCCCAGTAACGTCTCCATTGGAGACTTTGTTGTTACTGTGTCTGGCATATCGAATACTCTCGGTAGCTTGCCGGGCTCTCCGAGAGGGGCAGAGGAATCGAACTCGGGTCGGCCATGTTGGCCGCTTGTAAGGCGAACGCCCTACCCGCTGTGCTATCGCTCCAGCCCTATAAAATTATTTAAAATTTTTTTACACTTGAAACATTTTATAATAAAATATTGGGGGAAATATATTAATTCATTTCTCACTCAGAAGTAATGAACTTTCCTAAACAAATGGTCAGGGGAAAACTTCCCCAATTTTATTTATTATTTAAAAATTTTTTAATTTCTTTTTTTCTATTTATTGGGCGATACCAGGAAGAACACAGTGCTTACTCCTAGCTCTGTGCTCAGGAATCACTCCTGGCAGTGCTTGGGGGACCAATAAAGGGAAGCTGAGGATCCAGCCCAGGGCGGCTGTATGCAAGGCAAGCATCCTCCCTGCTGTCCTGTCACTCTGGATCTAATAATCCCCCAATTTTACAGCTGCTCTAATCGTACTGTTCCCAGTGCCCATTCCACAGCTTCACTAGCATTGGAGCTGGGACCCTGTCAGGGAGTGGGGACCAGAAACTGAGCAAGCAGGGCTGAGGCCTATTTCCTTCACAGTACCAACACAGGGTTTTCTCTTTCGGCTCTCTCTAAGGTTGAGACAAAAGGTTAAGACAAAAACAGAGAAAGATAATAAAAGCAGGATGCACATTCTCTCTTGATCATGCCTCATAATTACACCATTTCTGAACAAATTACGGTTGCAGCAATTAAAACATGCATTTTAATTTAGGAGCACAAAAACAAGACAGAACAATGCTGAGGTGGCTAGCTTTCAAGATGTCAGTGCTTTCCACATTAAGAAAGACTCCCCCCCATCCCTCCAAGCCCCCATTTCTCAGGCATGTAAAGCTGGGATACTTATACTGAGTTCTTTCATTATTGTATTCTTTTAAGGGCTCGTGCCTGCACGCACGCATGCGTGCGTGCGTGTGTGGTGTGTGTGTGTGTGTGTGTGTGTGTGTGTGTGTGTTTATGTTTTAAGAAAAGACATATGGGGGTTGGAAAGTTGGTATAAGGGTTAATGTAGCTCTCTTGCACGCTACTGTGGGCCCTGGTTTGATCCCTGGTTCCACCTTATGGTTCCCTGGTGGGAACCATATTGGGAATCAGGAGTGATTCCCAAGGAGCCTGGTGTTGTCCACTGCCCTCCCCACCCCTCTGCCCTTCCAACAAAAAGACAGAAGAGGATATAGGTAGCTAACTGTCACTGATTAACCCTATTAATAAGCACAGAGAAAAGGCCTTAAATAGGAATTTTGGAAAATATTCTATTTTTTTTGAAATTTCAAATATTTGAAAAATATTCAAAATAGAATATTGTTCAAAATTCTATCTTTTTTTTGACTTTGTTCCCATTTAATTTCTCTCAGGGGTCAGGGTGGGAAAGGAAGAAAATGTTTCAATTGCTCAAGGACTAATTATGCAATAAAAAAGCTGGAAGAGCTAATGAATTTTTAACGAATCATATTTCCCCCTACAGTTAATCATTTTTGAAATAAAGTGAAACTTTAGCAAAGGGATAATAAACATTCCTAGAATGTTAACTAATATTTTAATTAAAATCTTTTTATAAAAAATTTAATTAACACCTTGACTTTATTAAAAATTGAAATTAACACCTTAATTTTATAGTTCGGATATGCTCTGAAGGGCTGGAAGATAGCTCAAAGGATGAGTGTACATGGGTTGCATGCAGGAGACCTCGGTTTGAGCCCTGGCACAGGATGCTGACCCTACCCCCTACTGCCACCTGAGCACTGCTGGGAATAGCCCTACTGGGTGTGGTCCAAAACCAAACACAAAACAAAAATAACTACAACAGCAATAGAATATGCTCTGACAGGGAAATTATGAAAGTGATTTCCATAATTTAAGTTCTTTAAATTTAAAGTTTAAAGTTCTTAAGTCAGGAGGATGACTTAAAGGCTGGAGCACATGCTTTGCACACAGAAGGGTCAGGTTTGATTCCTGGTACTGCATGGTCCTCCTATCACCATCAGCAACAGTCATCAGCACCAAGTTGGGAGTAGCCCCTGAATATCACTGGGTGTGATTCCAAAACAAAAACTTTTTTTTTTGAAAAGCAACAATAGTGTAGAATTTTGTGGAAATTATATTTTATGTTTCCATATTTTTGTTTGTGTGGGGGCTAAACCCTGTGATGCTCAGGGTTTATTCCTGGTTCTGCACTCAGGAATACTCCTGGTAGTGTATGAGGGACCATATGGATGCCAGTGCTGCAAGGCAAGCTCCTTCCCTGCTGTACTATCACACCAGCCCTATATTTTATAAGTATTCAGGTAATAGTACACATCATTTGGTCTAGGCTTTTATGTAAGTTCCTCTGGAAGAACTTAACTTTCTTTTAGGTATCATAAAGAATTTGCTTACTTTAAAAGTCCCGGCAAGTATCCACACATATTCTTCATTATCTTCACTTTATAGGAAAGGAACTAAGTCTAAGAAAGTATAAATGCCCGCTATCACAGATGACCAGTGACAGAAACTATAGGCCTGGTCCTTAAAGCCTTCAGAAGATTTTATCCATGAGGGAAGATGGATTAAGTGTTACTTCCTATCACATTCTTGGCTATTAATGATTCATTTTTCTTCACTCAGAACTATCATTTTAGAATTTGAGCCAATATACAACTTTTACTTCTGTCATTATATGTTCTGAGAACTTGGTGTAAACCATTAGAATAGTATGATGTTACCTAAGACCAACTTTCTTGATTGCAAAAGAACATCTAACCTGTCATACGCTGAATATTTTCACCTTTGTGCTAATCACTGTCACTATCCTCCCGTTGTTCATTGATTTGCTCGAGCAGGCCCAGTAACATTGTGAGATTTCTTGTTACTGTGTTTGGCATATTGAATACATCATGAGGAGCTTGCCAGGCTTTGCCGTGAGGTCGAGATACTCTCGGTAGCTTGCTGGGCTCTCCAAGAGGGGCAGAGGAATCGAACTTGGTTCGGCCATGTTGGCTGCGTGCTAATACTGTAAAATCTAAAAACTGAAAACAAAAACTTTCTATTGTATAACTTTTGATTTCTTTTGTGGAAAGAAGACACTCACTTAGAGTTGACTTGCTGTATACTTCTGGCCAGAGGACCATGATGTGTCTCTCAGGCAATGACGTTTTGTCAACAACAAATTTGATATTGACTAACATTAGTAATGGTGCTATGAGGAAACACACATAAAGATTAACCCCTTTTCCTCACAGAGACTGCATCCAATCAGGACAAAAAGGTAAAGGCCCTCCCGTTGATCATCGATTTGCTCGAGCGGGCCCAGTAACGTCTCCATTGGAGACTTTGTTGTTACTGTGTCTGGCATATCGAATACTCTCGGTAGCTTGCCGGGCTCTCCGAGAGGGGCGGAGGAATCGAACTCGGGTCGGCCATAGTTGGCCGCTTGTAAGGCGAACGCCCTTAAAAAACCAAACAAGGGGCCCGGAGCGATAGCATAGTGGGTAGGGCGTTTGCCTCGCACGCGACCTACCTGGGTTCGATCCCCGGCACCCCATATGGTTCCCCAAGCACTGTCAGGAGTAATTCCTGAGTGCAGATCTAGGTGTCACCCCCTGAGCATTGCTGGGTGTGACCCAAAAAGCAAAAGCAAAAACAAAAGCAAAAACAGAAACAACCCTCAAGTGAGCTAAGTCTCTGTACTGGCAGGAACAGAATAAGCAGGGGAGGCGTGGGGATGAAGTCCCAGGGGATGAAAGGAAAGAAGGAAGAACATTTCAGGGTAGAGGAGTGAGAGGTGGGCAGAGAGGAGATAAGTGGGGAGACTGACTGTGTGGCCCACAGCAGGGCAAATAAACCAGATTCAAGAAACATGTACAAGAATAATATGTTGTGACTTCATAAAATAAAAATCAATCTTAAATTTTCTTTATACTTCACAAGGCTAGGGCACAAGATTCCTTTGATCCCAATGAAGGGTCAGCTTATGTGCTAATGATAAAGCTACTTCAACTCTGGGCCTAATATGTTCGGTATTTAGACTATCATTTAATTAACGTCCCATCAATGCATAGTCTTAGAATTTTAATTAATGTAGTGCAGTTTCTGATTAAGAAATTCAAAACCTGCTTTGCATACAGAAACATAATTACAATTATACAGAGAGGTAGTTGCACTATTTAACTCAATGCAAATAATTTCAAGTAAATTTCTACTTAAGTATCAGAGAGTAAAAAAAAAGTGTCCAAATACTGTCTGCCACAAAGGACATCTACTTGATAAAAAAATATGGAAAGGATAGTGAGCTACCCAGAGCTACCCCCCAAGTCCCCCAATCCCTGAACTAGGGATCAAACCCAGATCTCATGCATACAAGGCATGTGCTTTGCCACCGAGTCACATCCTGCCCCTGAAATACTGTTTTAACAGTATAAAATTTTTTAAATTTCAGGAGTAAGCTAGTTTACAGTTTCTACTGGGTTTAATTTTCAAAGAGCAGGCATTTTTTCTCAATGCTAAAAAAACCCTCCATATTCTGCAACATGACACATTAAGACAATAGAGGCCTACACAGGGGCAGGGCAGACAATTCAAAACCTAAGCAGCTTTGTCACGAAACCCTAATAAAAACAAAACCAAGCTTACATAAAACCATTTTAAACATATGATAAATTTTTTCCAAAAAATTCAATATTAAGTATATTTAGAACTTTACATTAAAAGATGATGAAGGTTGGGGCAGGAGCAATAGTATAGCAGGTAGGGCATTTGCTTTGCATATGGACAACCTGGGTCAATCCCTGGCATTCCATATGGTCCCCTGATCACCACCAGGAGTAATTCCTGAGTGTAGAGCCAGAGGTAACCTCTGAGCATTGCAGGGTGTGGACCAGATACCCCTCCTCCCCCCAAATGATAAAGATAATTTTATGGACAGGAACAAATGTAAAGCTTGAGGTGGCTGGTTCTGAGGGCAGAGATGAAATGCAGAAGGCTGAGAGCACCAACCACAAATATTAGCCCAGAGCACAGCAGTGGCTGGCCATCCAATAGGGAGCATGGGGCTCAGAGGTCTTGCAAGCCCATGTCCTGTGCTGCATTGTTGGTCACTCTCTGGACTTAGATACTGTGAAGTCGAGTAATGGGAAGCATCATGGACAAGCCCATGTGGACTATGGGTTGTGTGAATACAACCCTGTACTTACCAACTGTTTTGGAGTTATTCCCACTAGAGAAACTTATCACAGAGGACGTTATATGCTATCACATTCATTTGGTCAGGTTGGAAATTTAAATTTAGGAAGGAATCCCCTGCTTAAGTTTTTTGGTTTTCTTTTTAGATTTCCATTAAAAAGTTTGTTTCATAATACATCCAATTTCAAGAAAAACTGGACAGATTTGAACATGCAATTTGATAGTGCATTGACTGTAGCACTCTTACTGGACCATTCCAGTCCCAAAAGGGCCCTCTTTTATTTTTTAGCTTTTTATTTTGGAGAACTCTAAATATATACAATAGTAAAGAGAACAATAAAATGAAGCTTCAATTACCTTTCACTCAGCTTCAAAATACAACCAATCTTGTTTAATCTATGCTGTCATGATTTAAGACTAGTGTACCATTTTATAAATATTTCCACATGAATGTGAAAGCCTTTTTAAAACGATCTTTGGAAGGAAAGGAAATGGGCCATTCATGCTCAAATGTGATAACCACATGAAAGCCTAAATTTGGGAATTTCTCCAACTCTATTGTGACAGCTTAAAAAAAAAAAAAACCACTGAGGTTGGATGGGGAAGTCTCTCCAGAGTCCCCACGGGGTCCTTTGCTACGGGTCTTGCGTTACAGAAGGACAGTGGAGTGTAGAGGGTCAGGACAGGGGCCGTGTCTTAGGTTCATGTCCAGACACATGACTTACTAGTCGTAAGGCCCTGAGCTCATTTACTGAGCCAACCTCTCTCTGCCTTGGTTTCTCATCTGTAAGATGAGGGCAATGACAGCAACTACTGGAGATATTCTGAGGGATAAACGTGTTACTATAAATAAAGTGTCTGGCATCAAAAAGACACAGTGCTTGCTGTCTTTATAGTATGAATAGTTGCTACTGGAGGTTTAAAACAAAGACTGTTTTACATTTTATTGAGGTAAGTCATGTCACAGTGATAGAGACAAGGGCTAGGAAGAGTTTCTAGGGATCAGCATAAGCAGATGTTAACTGAAAGCTTTCAGGGTCGACTGGGGGCTTGAAGCACCATCGGTCCTACCGCACTTTGAAATGGACTTTATCACACACAGTGTTAAGAGTTCAGAGACAAGCAAACAAGTGAAACTTCAGAATTGTGAATGAAACAAACAGAAAAAAAATTAAGAACTTTTTTGGATACCTTGGCATCAGCTTCCCAACATTGATGTAACAGTTCAGCAAAACTCCTGGGGCAACTGCTGGGAATGGTTAATCTCTACAACAGAGAGTAAAATAAACAAACACATAAGTAAAGCATAAGGATTTACTCATGAAGGTAAACAAGTACTAATGGAAAGCTCATAAAAGTCCATTTAGGAGCACAAACTTGACTGTAAATAAAAAGCTTATATTGATTAATACATGTCAGTTGAGAATTTATATTTTCATATAAATTTATATTTCTTATAAATTCAATATCCATAGTATTAAATCTCTTATGTGTTAAATCCTTATGTGTTTTTTCACAGAGAAATCATAGTACATGAAGAGCTCACATTTCTACAACATAAGCAACAAAATACAGAACCAAGTCAAAAAGAAACCATGGGGCAAGTTGGAACTTCAGAATAAATCTGAGACCTCTGATTTACCACCAGACCAGGTGACTAAGGAGGTGTACAACTCTAAAAACAACAGCACGAATGGTCACAGAGCTCACTTTAAAGAAGGGAGGAAGGGAGCCTGTTTCTTTCTCTCTCTCTCTCTCTCTCTCTCTCTTTCTCTGTGTGTGTGTGTGTGTGTGTGTGTGTGTGTGTGTGTGTGTGTGTGTACACCTGCTCGGGTCACACTAAATGATGCTCAGAGGTTACTCCTGGCTCTGTGCTTACTCTGTGCTTAGGGATCACTCCCAGCAGTGCTTGGAGGACCAAATGGGAGGCAGGGGTTCAAAGCTGTGACGTCTGTATGCAAGACAAATACCCTCCCCACTGTACTACGGCTCTGGTCCCTGAGAGGCTCTTCTTACTGATAAACCTGACTTAAGGCTTAGTTTGGGTCAAATCCATGAATTTCTGGGGCACTGATATAGGTCTTTTTCTTTTGTATTATTCGAATGGAGTGGTTATCACAGATCATGTAATGCCATCCAAAGGGCATTTTGTTTGGAAGTCATGTAGAGACATTTTTGTTTGTCTTAGGAACTGGAGGTTTGCACATGTAGCACGTCAGGCATGCCAGAAGCCTTTCAATGCCAGACAAGATAAAGAATGCTTCTTAACTCCACCAAATGCCAAATGCCCCATGAAAGTAAGTAAAACATGCCATGATGTTTATCATTTTCTGAGCCAAGAATTTAACTCTGATTTACAAGTAAACAAAAAAGAATTTTATGAGCAGGTTTGAAATGCCTTAAACTTTCCATGAAGGTATCACTGTATCACTATCATCCTGTTGATCATTGATTTGCTTGAGCGGGTTACCGGTAACATCTTCATTGTGAGACTTGTTATTGTTTTTGGCATATTGAATACGTCACGGGTAGCTTGCCAGATTCTGCCATGCAGGTGAGATATTCTGCATAGCTTGCCGGGCTCTCTGAGAAGGATGGATGGACCGAACCCGGGTCAGCCACGTGCAAAGCAAACACCCTACCGGCTGTGCTATCGCCAAGAAGATATAACTACCAAATAAAATAAACTGAGAGCTAACTGATCATTGCATTATTTAAAACCTTATGTAGATTTTTGGAAAATACCACCTGAACTGCTAGTGGAATCTTTAATACCAAACCCAATTTTATTTAGCCTTTGTATTTTTTTTATTGGATTCTTTTTTTTTTTACTATCTCAAACTATTTTGTCTTCTACCTTGGTCATATTTGAACAATTATACATTATATATTTTATTTTCTTATATTATTGATAGAACATTATACCGACATGTATCATGTATATAGGTAGGTTGTTTTTTTTCTGAGTTTTATTTCAGGGACAGAGAGGGAACATGAAAGCAACTGTTATAAAAATAGAATGATACAGCTGACAGTTACTGTACCAAATATTACCAAGAAAACTGATTGTGGGGGGGCTGGAGCAATAATATAGTGAGTAGGGCACTGGTGAACCTGGGTTCAATCTCTGATAAGCCCTATAGTTCTCTGAGACCCACTAGGAGTGATCCCTGAATGCAGAACCAGGAGTAAGCTCTGAACACCGCCAAATGTGCCCCCCACCAAAACACACACACACACACACACACACACACACACACACACAGTCCAAGCAAACAAACAAACAAAAAAATCCTGTGTAATCCTGCTTATCAAAGAAACTTAAAACAGTCAGATAAGAGGATAGGGAACAGAAGGAAAAGGCAGATTAGAAGTGACAAAAGGACAGTGGTGAAAGATCTTGGGCACTTTGGTGGTGGTGAAGAGGCAGTAAATTTGTTACATCAAAATCACATGAGTTAAAAAAAATCACATGAGTTAACTTGTTATTGTAACAACAACAATAAAAACTATAAAAATATTTAAAGCAAAAATCCTTAAAGCTAAACTAAACTAGATTTAGGAGAGGCTACTTATTAAATTACAAAAATAGTTGCAATGGAAAGAAAGTAGACAATATATATTTGAAATTACAGACAAGTTTACAATCAAAACAATGCAATAAAACAAAGCAACCATCTTCAAATTAGAGTTAAGCATTTTAAAACTTCTAGTCCCGTGATTTCATAGAAGAGAATAAGATGTGGTAAAATGCGTTCTTATTTTATGGTAATGTAAATTTGAAACTGATAAAGATTTTTAAAAATCAGGTGTCTACTTTCTTTTAAAAATAAGATGCTTGTGCTGAAAGTAGACTATAGACCAAACATGAGTGCCACTCAATGCCTCTTTTGCAAACCACAACACCCAAAAGGAGAGAGAGAACAAAAGGGAATGCCCTGCCACAGAGGCAGGGTGGGGTGGGGGATAGGGGGTGAAAGGGATACTGGGACCCGTGGTGATGGAAAATGGGCACTGGTGGAGGGATGGGTATTTGATCATTGTATAATTGAAACCCAAGCACAAAAATTCGTAAGTCTACAACTGTATCTCATGGTGTTTCACTAAAAAAAAGTTTAAAAAAAAATAAGATGCTTGGGTATGGGAATCATAGAAACAGAATAGATGCGATTATACTACAAAATGTATTCTATATGTAACTCAAAATAACTTTTCATAAATACTCTTTTCAAGTAACTTTCCCAGAACAAATGTGTGAATTGGATACTCATCATTTTGGTCATCTTTTCATTATTGAACACCTTTTAAGATATCATATCAGAGACATGGCACAAGGAAACAAGATTACTTTAAATTATCTGACATTCTCATGGTCAAATAGCTGGACTTCAGTGCTGCAAGTAAGGGAAAATTTTTGAACATTAACAAGTACTTTAGGACAGAATCAAAATATTTCAATTCTTATTACATAACTGTGGGCATTCCAAATGCACTAAAGCACTCTAAAATACCCAGATAATAGCACCAGATTTCAAATAAGACTTAAAATATATTAAAATACCATTTAAAGTTTAAAATTAAAATATTTCCCAACCACGACATTAAGCTTGGCACTTTAAAAAAAAACCACATTCTTTTTATGGTACCATTTGCTACCTAAGAGCAAAGTTATTAAGCTTTTATAAATTAAGTATAGTTAGAAACAATGGATTAAGTTTTTGGATAATTTATCTTTATAATAAAGAACAATGGTTTTGCTGCTTAAAACGAAACACATTTTATTTGAGAGTCTATTTATAAAGAGAGAAATGCTGTCAGAACATTCTGACTGACCACTAATTGAGTCTAATGGAAACTGTAAATGTAAACTTACATATTTGTTATATTTAAAAATGTGTTAGCAGTGCCCTCTTAATTTCATGCCTTCTATTATGGTGTACGTTTTGCTTTACAAGTTTTAACAGTACTTTGTGGATCAGTTTTAAATTTAGTGTTAGGGGAAAAAAAAGGTTTATGGATCTATTTCTTGATTAGGAGTTTAGAAGAAAGATCCTGCAGAGAGAATTTTTAGAATGTATTAATTTTCATATAGGTGTGAATATAAATTATTAATGGTGAAACTGAGTAATAGCTAGAGTTTAATAAAAATGTGTCAAAGTAAATTTGACAGTTCTGATATTATAATCTTCCTTTATGTCACCTGCAGGGAAGCTGGGTGAAGGCTACTGAGAATTCTTTATAATACTTTGGAAACTTTCTGAAAATTTATAACTGTTTGGAATAAAAGTTTTAAAAGAGAAAAGACCCCCCCAATAGTTGGTTAAGTGCCCTGTAGAGAGACAATTAACATCTCTCTGGAGTTAGGCTGTGCTTCAGTGGCACAGCCCATACCTCACATATATGAGACCCCGGGTGCAATCCCTAGCACATCATAGAAATAAAAAGTGATAAAATAAAATGCTTTCTTGAAAATTAACCATATATATATATTTTTTTTAATGAGAACTTTGGCCAAAGTGATAGTACAGTATATAGGGAGTTTGCCTTACAAGTAGCTGACCCGGGTTATATCCCTGGTATCATATGGTCCCTTGAGCACTGCCAGGAATAATTTCTGAATGCAGAGCCAGGAGTAACCCCTGATCACTGCCAGGTGTGCCCCAAAACAAAAACAAAACAAAAAGAAAGGACTCTTAAAAAAGGTTTTTTTCAACTTTGTAAGCCACAGTATTCCAATTTAAAAATAAAATAATTTTGTAAATTATATTTACATCAAGGTTTACATTTCACTATGAAAAAAATTACTTCCTGGGAATTATTATAGTATTATATCAAGAAAAGTTGATTTGGCAATAAAGTGAAATTATGAGGTGAAATGAAGATAACTTCTTGAATGAGGTCAATGGAAACCCCATTTAATTTCCATGGTTTTTTAAAATTAAATTAAATTAAATTTTTTCCCATGTTTTTTTTAAAACAAAAATATTAGCAGAACGAGAACAGAGAGATAAATATCCTTCAAATATCCATTAAGAAAATTATTTCACTGTGTGAATTTCTTTTAACTCACAAATTAATAAGTATGGTTTGGGAGATATTTGAGTAGTCTCTGCCAGTTATTAGCAAATCCCCAGATTCCACCCTGAATGAAATAGGATCCTCAAGTTTAGGGATCTCTGGGGCATTGGTGGTAGAGGGATGTCACTATTTCCTTTTGTAAGTGCTAAAGAGATTCTGAAGTATGGGTGATCCTTAATATTCAAGTCAGCTCCTCAAAGATTAGCTTCTAAATTCTTTTTACTGTTTAGAATTAAAAATCCTTGAGGGAAGTTCTACTATTTTGAAAGTGCTTTAGATTTACACCCATGTGGCCATTCTTTCGATTAAATACTTTCTTAAAATATTAATTATTCTGTCTTAGACCTCTTTGGAGGGCCCAGTTAGGTTTTAAAACAGTTTTTTTTTCTAGTTTATCTGAAAATGGTACAGAGTAGGGAGATGACATTGGGTGTTCTGTTCCATAGTCAACAGGTCTATGATTTTTTTACTCTCATCTGTAAACACAGCACCAGCTGTCTCATCATCAGTAAAAGGAACTGAACAGAAACAAATAGGCACTTACTTGATGAGAATTACCAGTTCTCCTATACGTGAGGTTTAAGTGCATATCAGGAAGTTCTATCATATTTAATTAGAACAAAACAGTTCTTGTGGAATAATGAATCAAATACATTCTTGAATATAATTCTGTTTTGTTCCCTTAAACTGGCATCTCTCACCCATCCTGTTTAGCTGGCACAAACATTTCGCCCATTCTCAATGACTCAGGAGGACAAATTAATAAGGTACCTCTGGATTAGGATTATGCAATGGCTTTCAACCATTTTTGCACTCAGGACCAGCACTGGTCCATGAAGCAACTGTCTATTAGGTGGCAATATATTTTTTTCAAGGACTGGCAGCAAAGTTTTGCAGAGTGGCATCGGTCCACAGACCTGTGGTTGAAAACCACTGATCTAAAAGATGGACCACTGGATTCTCTTAGTCAATCACAGCTCTTTGATGGAATTCATTCCTGCACTCACATGAGGAGCAGATGAAGTGAATCCTCCTTTTAAAGGTTTTAAAAAAGGAAAAACCCTGATTATAGAATCACTTATTTTATTTTTTTGCAAATTATTTTTATCCTAAGATTGCAATCTTAGCCTTTGTAGAGGGCACAAAGAAGATGTGGAAATGAAGTCCTGTGAAATTAAGTTGTTTTGCCCTGTAAAGACAACCGAGTGCTTCCATGACGTGATCTGAGTTCTCCTAATACCTTGATATCGGATGCTTCATCCTTATGCTGAGAATTTCCATGGCTGTGCGTTTCAGGCACAATTTTTAAACCTTTCAGAATGTAGTTGCTCTCTTTGATATGAATGTACCATGTTCTCTGATGTAGGCTCATAGGTCCAACTAGCTGAAAGCCTCAATTTGTGGGAAGAAGAAAAGCGAGGCTGGGGACACAGCACAAACGGTGTTTACGCCACTGAAGTCCTTTTGAAATGGAAAGGCTCTGCATGAAGAAGCGCACAGTTATGCCACTGCCTCGCCAATTCCAGTGAGGAGCTCATCTTCAATGCAGTGCTCAACGTAGGTGGCAAAACTGTAATTTTTCCCTTTTTTGAAACTATTTTTTCTTCTTTTATTTTTGAAATTCTCATCTAAGCGACAGTTTCTTGTACTATAGTGACTCCTGCTGGGAGAGGTAAGTTGAAGTAGCTGAAGGTCTCTTACAGATATATCAACTCCCGGCCAGTAAAAAAGATGTCCTAAACGCAGGAGATGGAGTTAAACTGTTCCCCTACCTTGGACGCAATGGCTTCTTTCATCACTAAGAACAAACCCCTAGGTTTTACAATTGAGACTGAGAAACTAGTACAGTACTTGTACGATTTTTGATCTACAGCATCACGACGTGAAGCTGCAACAATTAGATGTAAAGGGTCCATTCATGAGGAATAACATCACTTTGACCCTTTGTGTTAGCTCCTACTGCTAATCTTTCCATAAGCGTGAACTTACTTTCAATTTGAAGAAGATGAAAAAGTCTTTTGCAAAACCCCAATACTGTTTTCTGATCTATGTACCTGAATGGAGAATCGTAGTCTTACCTCGTTTTTTTCCACTACAAGCCAAGCTACTTGTAATCCTTCCAAACCTTTAAAGGGGACCTCCCTTGTTAGCATCTCCCAGAGAACCTGGAACAAAAAAGAAAATGGAGTTTTTATTCTTGTACTTTATATTTTTGGTATACTACTGAAACTTTATCTAACATTTAACTGTATCCAATTACCAGACACAACGAAACCCATCTATAGAAAGTCGGGAATAATGTATACATTCATGCACACTACTTCTCCCATATATTATATATTTTTTGTACCCTTTTATTTTTTTTTTAAAATCCTGGTTTAGAAATTACAACATCTAGAGCCAGATTATTTAATATTTTATAAAGCCAGTGGACCTAAGAATTTTAACTTTTTGTTATAAGTTACTAGAATTCTTACAAAATAGATTTTATGTTTTATGAACTAAAACTCTCTGTGTGTTTTATCTCTGAGACATGATAAATTATTAACTGCAGATTCAATAATAAATTAAAATGTTAAATTTTTTCAACTTCAAGATTTCATCTTAAAAAAAAATACAAACTACTAACTTGCTAATCCACTTCCTCCATAATGGTTGGACTTGAAAAACTAGGATATTTAGATTTTGTATCTCTGAAAAATTTTCTTTCAAAACCAGATAGTTTAAAACATTTATTTTCATTTAATTATGACATAATTTATTATACCATGTCTAAAATGAAATAAATACCTTATGGACATAAACACTGGGTTTGTGTGAGAGCATTAGTTTATGTGTGTCTTCATTTCTGCAATTCTTTTTTTACAAAGGTTTTTGGGCTACACTCAGTGGTGCTCAGGGCTTACTCCTTGGCTCAGTGCTCAGGAATCATTCCTGACAGTGCTCAACAGAACAATTGGTGTACTAAGGATCAAACTGGGGCCAACTGCATGCAAGGCAAGTGCTTTTCCCCTGTCCTATCTTTCTGGTCCCTGCAATTCTTGAAATCAGTATGATTAATAAATTCACAATGGGGTGCCGCAGAAAGCAAACTGATCCTGGGAAAACTGAGAACATCCAATTAGTTTGACTTTTCTTTACAAGCTGAGTAATGGAGATTTGTACACTTGGTTGCTTTCTCTGCTTACACAGGAGCATTAAAATTTCCATATTCTCTGAAGTATAAAAACAATTCTACAACATTATCAGTAATAATAACAACTACTACCATTTCAACTACTACCATTTCTTAGGGAGGTGTTTATTATGCCCCTTTATTCTGCTAACCTCTTTATATCTATCCTATTGGATAGATACTGTTCTTGTTTTGTTGATTAGGGATCCAGAAAGGATCCAGAAAGTTAGATAAGTTTATGCAAAGACATTCGTTGTCAAGTGGCAGAAGTAGAATATGAACTTTCTATTTGCTGCTGAAAGAAAACCTCTCACCCCATCTAACTAGAAAATGAAAAGCTACGGCACATGAACGAATGTCGTCGGCCATGTTTTGTGTATGCAGCCATGGCAGAAGTGAATAGTGAATTCAACCGTTTTTGTTTAGATTTCTCTTGTTCCAAAAACAAAAATGAACATGCCAACAAAAAATCACCTCCAATTAAGAACACTGAGGCTCTATAGTTTTCAAGATAATCCTATAAATTCTTAACTCTATATCCACTTCTTCCTCTATTACTCCTCAAGTCTTATTTGAGCCATAACATGTTAAACAAATTCTGGCTAATACGAAGATAATTAGCAAGAAAATCAGGGAAATTGGCAGATGCTGCTCAAGCAGGAGAGAAAAAAATTCACCCAAGCCTCTTTGGGCTTTTAATCAAGTGTGTAAGGTACTTCTTTAGAAGAGCTACTGAATAATTCTATTTGAGTCCCAGAAGTGATTAGGAAAAGGTAAGGGGCACCCCAGAAGGGGACAATTCTAGTGAACACGGGAAGGGAGCACCAGAACATGTATGCTGCCCCCACCCCCCCGCCCCGACCCCAACGGAAGCCTGCACGGGGAGGGGGGGCACAAGTGGGGGTGAGCAGGAAATGAAGTCCCTCAATTTGTTGCAATTATCACTCCCCTGGGGATGGGGTTGGGGAGGGGAAAGGGGATGAGGGGCAAGTCAATGAACGGTGGTGGCATTCTTAGGCAGAAAGGGAGTGATGAATTCGCCTCAAATAAATGAGATGCTCTAGACCTGCCAGTGCTCAGATGAGCCTCCTGTTCAGAGCTTGGTCTGCATCCACTGTAGGTTGGGCACTCACCCACACAGAGATCAGCCGAATTTTGTAAAAGGCAAAACCAAGAGTTTGCGGGGGAAAAGGCCAAGAAAAGACTGGTGTCATGTCAGTCTTTATTCCAAAATAGTCCGCTGCAAAATGTTCCAAAGCTACTGTGATCTGAGTTCTATCTCCCTAAGAACTCAGACCTGGGAAATGAGTCAGTCTCATTGCAATTGCCTTCTCTGTGTCTCTACAGAGCTGCCCTTGCTGAGGGAGGGAGCCACCGGGGACATGAAATCAAGTCACTAACTATTGCTGGACTCTGAAGCACCAGCGAGGTCTTTCCATTTAACCCAGTGTCTGCACATGTCATGATTTCTGATCAGAAACACATCAAAAAATAGGCAGGACAGGATAGGACAAGGATGGCTTTCTTGTTTGTTTTGTTTTGAAACACAAACCAAATGACTTGGCACAGAAAGGTAACTTTGTTGAAGAAGTCACTTGGAAGACTAAAAATATATTCAACTATGCCTGAAAATATCAGTTATGGGGACGTGGGCCAAACATTAATGTGATCTTTCACCCTGAAAATACTTTCCAACTCTTTTTATAGTGAGCCGTTCTCACATTTAATCTGTGCTCACAAGGAAAATTTCTATTTTTAGTTAACAGAAGAGAAATTTGGACAAAACTGTGTACGTTCCCTGCCTTTTTCCTTACAAACAATGGGAAGCCATTCCATGGGCCAGGCTTGCTCTGGAAAGGCTCATATGCCAGCCAGCGAAGGCGGCCATGCTAGCCCTCAGGTCACTCTCTTCCCAAACTGGTTTGGGGGCAGAAGCTGCAAATACCCTGATCCCTTCTACAGTGTCCTAAGAAAGGCTTTTTTTGTTGAGAGGTTCAGTTTTGGCTTCTCAAACTGTTCAGTGATTTGTGTTCTCCTGACTTATTTTTTTCCCCCTCTTTTTACTTCATGTAGATAACCTACTGCACACTTGCTCTTTTGGTTGATGTCATCCTAAGAGGGGAGAAATATCTCCCCTTTTATTTTCATTACACAGAGGAACAATGGCCTGCCAGCAAAGTTCACCAGCTTAAGAGGTAGCAAGGAACTCAATATCCCTTTCCGGTATCTGCCAGATATTGGCTGCAGGGCTGAATGAAGCTGGGAGATGCCTTCTGTGAGAAGGGTCAACAAAGTCTATCACACAGTGTTAAGAGACTGAGAAAATTGGATATTCTAGTTTTAGTTTGTTTTTTTTTAATGTAGAGACAAAAAAAGAAAAAACCAAATTATATTGGTTTAATCCTTTAGGTTGGTTTTCGAAAAGGGTGAAACTTGTTTTTCATGGTCTTATTCATCTGTCACTGCTGGGGGTTGGGGCCCAATGGACAGCTAAGATTTTCAAGAAAGGGATTTTAGTTTTTTAAAATTAAGGTAATGTTGGTTTCCAGGACAGGATAGGTTGTAGGCTTATGGTTTGACAGTTCTTCAAATGTAGAGCTCCACCCCAAAGTATCAGTGTTCCCCTATCACAGCCCACTGGGCTCTCCTTGCTCCTGTATCTCCCACAGCTTCCCCCTTTAGTAATCCCAACTTGAAGAACAGACTCCGATGACTGGTTTGTCCTGCGCCCCCATTTTGATTTTTCATTTCCCACATAGGAGTAAAATCACCCAGAATTTGTTTTTGTTCTTCAGACTTATTTCATTTGCCATGCCTTCTCCAGGTGCATCCATGTTGTTGCAAATGGCAAAATTTCATCTTTCTTTAAAAAAAAATGGAGAAAAATACCTGAGTAGTGTTAACATTTTTTTTTTTTATCCACTTGTCTGTCACTGGGCACTGGGACTGTTTCCACACCTTGGTTATTGTGAGTAGTGCAGAATGAACACAGGTGTGCTTGTCTTTGGACTAGTATTTTTGTGTTCTTTGGTAAATTTTCAGGAGTGGAATTGCTAGATCATATGGTAGATTCATTATATATATTAATTTACATATAGTTGGGAGATTTTTGTTTTGTTTTGTTTTGTTGGTCAAAACTGGTGGTACTTGGGGCTTAACAGGGCTCTGTGCTTAGGAATCACTCCTGGCAGTTGTTAGAGAACCATATACAGCGCTGGGAATCAAAACTGAATTAGCTACATATAAAGCAAGCACCTTACACACTGTTATCTCTCTGACCCATCCACTTAATATTTTGAAGACCACTCAGTTTTTCCATGGATGCTTGATCTATGTATGGTCCCGCCAACTGTGAATGATGGTTCTTTATTTTCTCCTCGCTTTTGCTGACAAGTTTTGAGGCTGGTTGTTTTGGTATAGGCCATTCTAACAGGTGTGAGGAGATCGAAGTTTTGAGTTTGTATTTTCCCTGTACATAAGTGATGATGAACATTATTTTTGTGTGCTTGTTGGTGTCTAAATTCCTTTTTTTGTGACCTGTCTTCAGTTGTTCTCTCCTTTTTTAATAGGGTTGTTTGCTTTGCTGTGTTTTGTTTGTCTTGAGTTCTTTCTATATCTTGAATATTAATTAATACACTCTCAGACATATGGTGTGTTTATTTTATCCCATTTGTGTGTTGGCTTTTGTCTTCTCTGACATTGGAGTAGAATCCTTACACATAGACCAATATAACAGAGTGTTTGCCCTTTTCCTTCTATATATGTTAATGGTTCAAGTCTAACATCCAAATCTTTAATCCATTTTGAGTTAACTTTTGTGCATGGTGTGAAATAGTAATCCAGATGCCTTCTTTTCCATGGGGCTGCCCAGTTTCTGAGCACCATTAGTTGAACAGACATTTCTTTCTTCATTTCATGCTATTTGCTGTAAACCTTTCATATACATCAGGGTTTATTTCTCAGTCCCCAATTTTATTCTCTTGCTCTACA